TAATTAGCTGACATAAGGAATCTGATAGAAGTATCTGTGGAACGTAAATTTTGAAATAACTTGCAGAAATACTTTGAAACATTTACACTTGATCCCATAGAAGGTCTCTGTGTAACTTCATAAGAAATTGCCAACATGTGCTTATTTTAATAACTAATGTTTGTTAATATCATGCTTGTGGATGTAACAAAGACCACAGAGTAGGTTCTGTTAGAACTCTTAATAAAAAGCCAAATTTGCAAAATATTTAGAGAGATTTATTCTGAGCCAAATGTGAGGGCCATGCCCTGTGACACAGCCCCACAGGATCTTGAGAACATGTGCCCAAAGTGGCTTGATTGCAGCTTCAATTTACTAACATCAATTGATACATGTGAGATATATGTTGACTTGGTCAATAAAGACAAAACCGCTGGAAGTGAGGCAGTGTGGGAGGGGATTACAGCTTACAGGTGGATTCAAAGGTTTTCTGATTGGCAATTGATTGAAAGACTTAAGTTTTTTATCTAAAGACCTGAAATCAGTATAACAAAGTGTCTGGGTTAAGATAATGGGTTTTGGAGAACAAGATTCTTATTACTGAAGAAGTCTCTTATGTGGCCACCCTTAGAGACAATAGATGGCAAATATTTTCTATTAAGACCTTTAAAAGATGCTGGACTCTTAGCTGATCCCTTCAGGATAACAAAAGACCTGGAAAGGGAAGGAGATTCTCTGCAGAATGTAAATTTATCTCACAAAAGATAACTGTGCAGGGCGATTTTAAAATATGTCATAGAAATACATTTTAGGGTAAAAGCCTTTGATTCATTTCAAGGCCTGCTCTCTGTCATATGATGCTATTCTTGAGTCAGGTTGGAATTTGGTATCTTACTTCTACAAAGAATCTGTTTTCTGAGCCTTGAGTTCTCTGTTATCATGAAAATGCTGGCTAGTCGTGCTTGAATTCTAAAGGGAGGAGTGCATGATGAGGCATTTCTGATCCTCTATTTCTAACATGACCTGAGCTAGTTTTTCAAGAGTCTCTGGAACTCCTTAGTGAAGAGAAAGGGTCCATCCAATCAGTTGGGGTGCTTAGAATTCTGCCTTGGCTTCGTAGGACATATACGAGACTTCTCCTAGCCAGGGGTATCAGAAAACTATTTACTGAGGCAATCACATTGAAGTTGAGACATGAAAGATGGTCTCAGATTCCTCCCTGCAATCCTTTTCTCCTTACAGTAGAAGAAGAAAACTTACCAGAAACAAATGTTAGCATTTCTTTTATGTTCAAAATCGTCACCCATTAGGAAAAGAGTTAAAGTTGGGAGACTTCCCTTTAGACACAAGTAGTCTAGCTGATTTCTAAAGTCATTTACAAGCACAAAGATTCTGATTAGTTTAGAGATTATGCAGAACATCCCATCTAATGGGAATCTGCACTTAGCTGGATCCTCATACCTTGGTGTTTTTTTTTTTTTTTAATGTTTAATTTATATAGATATGTAATAGTTCAAAACCTTTTTATGGTACATGTTATATTTTGATAAAAGAATATTATGTGCAGTGATCAAATCTGGATAACTGGGATATCCTTCATCTCAATCATTGATTATTTCTTTGGGTTAAGCACATTCTAAATCTTCTCTTCCAGCTATTTTGAAATATACAATAAATTATTAACTGTAGTTGTCTATGTGCCATTTCAGCATTCCCACCATCAAGTGGTGAAAGTTCCTGTTTTATAACTTACTCATCACCATTTGGTATTGTCTATATTGTGTATTTTACATATTCTATTAGGTTAGTAGGATTTTTTCAATGTTAAATATACATGTACCTAATGAAAATCCAGTGGATCACTTTTATTTTTAGATGCAGTTTCTATTCAGGTCTTTGCCCATTTTAAAATTAAATTGTGTGGTTTTGTTTTGTTCAATTGTAAGGTAATTTGTATATTTATGATAAAAGTCCTTTTCCAAATATTTGATTTGGAAGCAAATTCTCCAGATCTATGTCTTATCTTTTCACTCTCAGGTAAGGGTTTATTTTCAAAGGCCTAGGTTAGTTTATTCATCTATGAAAAGAGGATAATTGGCCGGGTGCAGTGGCTCAAGCCTGTAATCCCAGCATACACGGGAAGATCACCTGAGGTCAGGAGTTAGAGACCAGCCTGGCCAACATGATGAATGCCTGTCTTTACTAAAAATACAAAAATTAGCCGGGCATGGTGGTGGGTGCCTATAATCTCAGCTACTTCGAGGGCTGAGGCAGGAGAATTGCCAACCCAGGAGGCAGAGGTTGCAGTGAGCCGATATCACACCATTGCACTGCAGACTGGGAGAAAACAGTGAGACTCCATCTTAAAAAAAAAAAGAGAGAAAAGAGGATAATTGTAATTCTAAATTCTTGGAATTATTAGAGTAATAATGTAGCTTGAAATTATTCCAGTATCTTGAATATGTATCAGTTTTGGTATAACACTAGTGAGAACAATTTGTAGAGTGTTCTGTGTAGACCAGAAATCAGAAGGTGATAAAGGGACAATTAGATTTGAATAATCCAGAGAGATGAAGTGTATATGGTATTCATCTCCTTTTGCTCTCTAGGAAGAGGAAATGGATAGATGACATCTCCTTGTGAAATCGAATGCAACGGTTTTAAGATGCTTGTGAAAGAAAGTTGCAAATACAATCTCTCAGGTGATGATCTGACACAGGGCTGTGGAGGGGATGGTGGCCGCCGGTGGTTGCTGTCAGTCACATGGTTGATTGGTTTGGCCACTGTTTTGTCCATGAGAGATATTAGACTGTGATGTACTAGATGCAGGCAAGTTTCTTAATCTCAGAGGAGGAGAGAAACACGAGAAAACAGAAGACGGGAAAATTGAAGATCTCCCTACAGCAAGCACATTCCATGGAGAAGCGCTTGTCACTGAGAGACCCAGGGATATGCAGGGAGTGGAGAGGAGTTTGGGGGATATTATTCATGAAAGAACTGATCCAACCTCGTCGACCTCCCCATGGAAGGAGGGGTTAAATATTTGTTCACAGATAATGGTGTGTTATGTCAGGATTCCCACAGGTTTCAGATATAGTTTCTAATAACAAGTGTCATACTTTGTTTAGAACTGATTTTTTTTGTATTTTACCCCTCTAGGCAGCACCACAGAAGAATGTTCTCAGAATCCTTCCTGATCCTCTATGAGTTCCTGGTGCAGCTCCTGGAGAATAAGCTTGCGTGGGGAGGGAACCCTCCTCATGTGCAGCCCTGAGGATGTCCCGTCACCTCACCCACCACTGTCCTTCAGTCACTTCCTGAACAATTTTGAGTTAACCTTCCTGAAACATGGGGTATTTGGCAGTGTCTTTCCCAGGTAAGGAAATACTTCCGTTCTGTTTATCCCTGCAGGCCCCTGTCCCTTTCTGGAGCACGGGTTGCAGTTGAGTGTGTGGTGGTGGATAATTAATGGGGGGAGGTTTGTGAGCATCTTGTCACCTTCCCGAGTGTGCCCCTCATGGGGTTGACACTGATAAGCGCGCGATGGGCTTGCTCAGCTGGAGGATGACAGGTACTTTTGTAACCTGTGACCCCAGGGAAGCTCTCCCGCTGCAAGGCCAGTGAGACTCAGGCCTCTGGCTAAAGTGCAGCCAGCAAAGGATACAGTGCCCAACCCTGAGAGCTCCTGCCAGGTGGCAAACCACTTTGTAAGGGAAAGTTTTCCTGTCTGGATCCCATTAATTTGTCTGCATTTTCTGCATAAAGGGCTTTATCCAGAAACATCCCCACAAGATTATAGAGTTTCAAATCCAACTGAAGGGCATTATTTACAAAGTCCCTCACGACGAGTCTCCAGTGCTCGTTAAATGACATTAATTATAGGATTCACCAGAAGCTGCTGGCCTTTTAGTTGCACAGACCTGCCTCTACTCCAGCAGTGCCAATCTTTTTGGCACCAGGGAATGATTTTGTGGATGACAGTTTTTCTGTGGATAATGGAGGCAGGTGGTTACGGAATGAACCTGCTCCACCTGCAATCATCAGACTTTGGGTTCCCACAGACAGCGTGCAACCTAGATCCCTCACATGCACAGTTCACACTAGAATTCGGCTCCTAGGATAATCTAATGTGCAGCTGATCTGACAGGAGGCGGAGCTCAGGCAGTGATGCTCACCCACTGCTCACCTCCTGCTGTGCGACCTGCCTTCTCTCAGGCTGCTGACCCATACTGGTTCACTGCCTAGGGGCTGGGGATCCCTGCTGTAAATGCCTGCAGGCCTTATCCTCTTGGTAGGGGCATAGAAAACCAGGAGTCAGATAAGCTCTAAATCAATCTACATTTTATGGATTCTTGAGGAAGCAGTGAAAGGAGGAACATCCCCACTCACTTTCCCTCTACCTGGTGTCATTTCATGTAATGCACTAGAAGAACCCAGGGTGCTTCAAGATAGCTTAGGCTTGTTACACCAGGGACCACCAGAAAAGGAGACAATGAATGTGTCCATGTGGGTTCATCTGTTGCAAGTTATTTATTACTTCAGTGCAGGGTGTTGATCACAGAGAAGGCTGTGCGTGTCTTGGGCGGGAGTATGTGGGAACTCTGTTTATTCTACTCAAATTTGCTGTAATCCTAAAAATGTTTTAAAATAAATTTAATGTAAATGGGACTGGCAAAGACATTTTGGTAGAAATGATGGCCACTTTTTAGAAATTATGTTTAGTCTTACCATGTGATCAAGCAGTCCTGCTCCAAATGATTTATCCATTCGATTTTAAAATTTGTGTCCTCACAAAGGAATGTTTGCATCAGCCTGATTGATGGCTGCCTTTCCCACTCTGTGAATGTTACCTTATAGGGTGAAAGTTGAAAAGATTATTTCCTATATGATTGGAATATATATCTTTCTATTTCTACTTTTACTCAGTGACTTAACCCATCTTCTAAATAATTTAGACCTCACAAATCCTGTCATCTTCACAGCCCCAGCACAGCTGCCTCCTCCCTCAGGGTTTCTGACACTCTCAGGATGTGGTTTTCACACTGTGTGTCTCGCACAGTAATACACGGCCGTGTCCTCAGATCTCAGGCTGCTCAGCTCCATGTAGGCTGTGTCTGTAGATGTGTCCGCAGTCATGGTGAGTCTGTCCTGGAACTTCTGTGCGTATATTGCTTCACCATCTTCAGGATCAATGCATCCCATCCACTCAAGCCCTTTTCCAGGAGCCTGTCGCACCCAGCTCAGGTAGTAGTCGGTGAAGGTGTATCCGGAAGCCTTGCAGGAGATTTTCACGGTGGCCCCAGGCTTCCTCACCTCAGCCCCAGACTGCACCAGCTGTACCTCAGAGTGGGCGCCTGTGGAGAGGACAGAGGAGTGAATGAGACACCACTTCACTGGACCCAGTCCCCTCATCAGCCCTGGAACTGAGGATTCTTTTACCTGTAGCTGCTGCCACCAAGAGGAGGATCCTCCAGGTCCAGTCCATGGTGAGGTGCTGTGCTCTGGGGGCGTCTGTAGGGGAGGGATGTGGTTGTTGTGTGATGCTCTCTCAGCAAGGACAGATCTATATTTACCTCGGTAGATACCAGTGCATTTGCATATTCATGAGGCAGGTATTTCATAGCTCAAGCCACCCCACCCTGGGGAAGAAGATAGGTGACACACGGCCCACTCCACAGTGGGATGCTGAGCTCCATGACCTGAACTTGTTTAATGATATTTGTCATCTGACATGCTTAGAAGTCCATGAAGACAGAACTCCTCTTACAGAAACCCAGAATCTCACAGGACATGGTCCCAATGTGATTCCTTTTTCACACGGCACACGGACAACCTGAACTTTCCTGGGCCTTGCCCTCTGCACATCTTAACTTCTGGGATGAGTGTGTCTCCAGATAGTAACACCCATTGAATTAATAAAACCACCCCTCAATTCCTAACGATAGATACATTTGAAAGGCCTAGACATTTCTTCTTTTAAATATGGTTTGCATTAGGTAACGGCTGTGTATGCAAGAGAATACTAAAGACACATCAGTACTTTCTAAATTCTTATTTAAATTTTATGTCATTATTGCTTTGAAATAAGGAATATTCAATCCCTGAGAGAAAACTCCTCCCCAACCTCCTGTGCACCTGCCCCAGAGCTGGATCCTGTGCTGGGTGCATCCTGAGCACCCTCTGCAGCTCAGCTAATGCCCTGCAGGGAAGTTCCTTTCTGGGCTCACAGAGCATTTTTCTCCCAGTGTCTCAAGCTCAATGTGACGTGACTGTGCCCTGGCTCAGAATGCTCCTTCAGGGACAGCAGCTACTTCTCACACCACTTCCTACAATAGAAAATAGACCTTAGGAAACCTAACAAAGCCTACAGGGAGACCTCGGCACAGCAAGCAAGGAATGACTAAAGCCACCAGGGAGCCCCTTCCCTGGAGTTCCAGATGCACTGATACGGTCCAGACACATGTTGAGTCCAGGAACTGATGGGGACTTTGGGGCAGACCTTTTTTTTTTTTTTGGATTCTGTGGTCGAAGTTCACATCAGATTATAATTTTACGCACAAACCCTGTGTCTCAAGGTCCACCCCCCAACACACACACACTCACAGTGGCATATTTGCGCAGTAACAAGCCTCAGATTTGCCCTCCTTCCTAGTGTCTTGTCAATGAAAAGTGCTTCCAGCACTGGCCCCAGTCCTGGTTATGTTTGTGGTAGTTGTTTTTGTTGTTTTGTTTTTCCAGACAGAACTAAAGTAAGCTCAGTAACGCTGGAGATTCAGAAGGTGCCTTCACGTTGTCTTGGCTAGTTCTCACCTGAGAACCCTGCAGATGCCCCGTGAGAGGTATATCTAAGGTCACTGAGGGAGGGGTACTGACCTTGTTCCCGAAGGTGTTGGTCTCAGAGGTTTTAAATCACTTTAGTGTCCTTGACTTTTTCTCTCCCTCTGCCTTTGGTTTCCCTTAGTTCTAGTCCTTAGACAGAGTCTGTGTGTTGCCACACTTTTCTCTTTAATCCAGATTAATCCTGTTGGTGAGGAGGTGATGTGGTGGGCAGGGGAGCAGTATATATTCTTGAAATTGAATTCCAATGCTTTCTTGCTGTTCTTTCTCTGTGCTGCTCCCCTTACAAGGAGTCTCCAGTGATACAGCTGATTTTCCTCTGTCCTCTGCTCCCCCTCCTGGCTGAAGCATCCACAGATTATTCTCTTGAATCTGACCTCAGTTGTTTTATTAGTTATACCCCTTTTCATGGCACAGGAAGGCTAAGGTGAAGCTGTCTTGGATGGAAAATAATCCCTTCCCCTCATATAGAATAAAGATCTTGAAAAGTATTTTTTATCTGTCGGGTCTGTCTGGAGAAAATTCTGGGGTATTTATCAGAGTATAGCTCTCCTGATGACAGAGCCATGAGTGATTTTGTTTGGATTCTCATCTTGAAAATCCAGAAGTTGGCCGGGCGCGGTGGCTCAAGCCTGTAATCCCAGCACTTTGGGAGGCCGAGACGGGCGGATCATGAGGTCAGGAGATCGAGACCATCCTGGCTAACACGGTGAAACCCCGTCTCTATTAAGAAATGCAAAAAACTAGCCGGGCGAGGTGGCGGGCGCCTGTAGTCCCAGCTACTCGGGAGGCTGAGGCCGGAGAATGGCGTGAACCCGGGAGGCGGAGCTTGCAGTGAGCTGAGATCCGGCCACTGCACTCCAGCCTGGGCGACAGAGCGAGACTCCGTCTCAAAAAAAAAAAAAAAAAAAGAAAATCCAGAAGTTTCTGGAGAGAAATTCCATCAAAGTGTGGGGTGTGCAGCCCCCCAGGAGATCTTACCCTTTCCCTGTCCACAGCTTCCTCCAGGCGTTTATGGAATTACCATCTAACTGTTCCCACCAGCTTGTGCTGTCAACTGAAGAATCAACCAATTTATCAATTTAGAAAGGAGACTTTATTTCTGAGAAAGGGTTGAAGCTGCAGGATGGTCCCCTTAACAGGCTGGGAAGCAAAGCCTCCCACAGAGATGTTGAGCAGGCACTTCAAGAGAGGGAAAGATGAGAAATGAATTCATGCGAATGGATTGGCCAAGTGTACACGCTCAGCAGGCTATAGAAGGAGCTGCGGATATTCATATCGTGGGCAGGTGCTCATATCTAATAAGGAAACACACATGTTACATGCATTTCAGGTGCACTTTGGGGTGAGCACTTAAGAACTAAGTGAATTACAGTCGGACCCGGTACATCAAAAGGGCTTTGTACAGGGTCAGAAAGACACACAGTACACAGCCTTTGTAATTTGGCCAGGACAATCCATGATCAGTGATCTCTTATCAGGAGAAAGTTACTGAAATCAGTCTCTTCTCCAATCAAAGCTCTATTTATGGCTTGTGAAATAGGGGCACAGTTATGCAGTGTCTGGAGTTCCATGAGCTGCAAATGTTTTAATATTGATTATCTCAGTACCAGTACTGGTTTAGCTGTTAAAAAGGCCTGTGGAAGTTACAACGGAGTCTATTTTTTTAAGTGTAGGGTTGAGTGACTTAATCCTTGCCTGGCATAGCATTAGGTCTCATTTATTATTGGTATCTTATTGCCACAGAAAGTTTGTTCCATCAGTCTGATGATCTCTATTTCAACGTCTTTGTAGTTTTGGGGTCCTGGTTTCCCTGCAATTTCACTTATTCAGCAGATCCAAGAAATCATTGATAATCAATTTTCCAGGCTTATATTCTTGTAAGAATGTGGGTGATGATTGACATGCTCTTTACGTATTAAAGCAGAAACCAGAAGTAGCTTCAGACATCACCAGTGACCTGACACAAGCAGCAGGAGTCTTGTCTCATGAAGTATAAGTGGCACCACACAGATGTTGCTGAGCATGCAGGGACACAGAAGACACAGTGCAGGACACATATGAGATGTTTTTATGATTCTGGGGCTCCGTCCAGGAAGCGGGAATTCAGACGGTCCTAGAGGGATGGACTCTTATCTCTCAGGTGACACTGTGTTTTGGAAGCTTATTTCCCCTCCTGTACTGGATTCAGTAGCTGCACCTGGACCTGCACACCTGAAACAGAAACTCTCATTAATTAAGCACAAGACTCAACAATAATAAAGCTGTCCCCAGGGAAGGTGCAGAGCAGGGTCCTCTGCTTTTGGGAACTTACAACTGTGCACGGAGGGTCAGGAGTGTGAACCATGTCCTTCCACTCTCCCTGCCTGCTTCACAGACAACTGCAAGCAGGAGCTTTACATTGCTTTGTATCTAAAATATGTGATCGTTCTAGCGAAATGTAATACACAGATGAAGGAATGAGGAACCTACGTGAAATTAAAATAAAACTAATACATGAAATAAATATAAAGCTCTATAAGATATTATAATGTAAAAGACAGCAAACAAATACTAAAAACTTGTGTGTATATATGTGTGAGACAGTATTCTTGTAAATTAAATCGTAATTTGCTTATAACGTCTTTCAAGTAGGTACAGAATCTTTGTCTTTGATTCCAACAAAGATGAAGAAGGATCTGGCACCAGGACTCCAAGGTCATGCTAGTGATTTCCCCTCCTGTCTCCTGAGGACACATTGCTTCCAATTCTGAGGATCAGAATGCTGACATTGACATGAGAAGAGAAAGTTGGATTTTCTGTGGGACAGACTGGTGTGAACATAATTTTCAAGCAAATAAGTTTATTCTACCATGAGACACACTGCCATTATGCTGACTGTGTGTGTTGCTTTTGACATGAACATTATTGTTATTAGCAATATTGTTGGGTTCCCTGAAAAATGATCAGTTATCACAGAATGAACTTGAGTAGTTTTCATTTTAGTTTTTTCACACTTCCAGCTAAATCCACTGAGTGAGCCTGGACATTTCAGGTCATTGGTTACAAATGATGGAGTGGAAGTTTTCCTAGGAATTAGACATGGTTCTGCTAAAGGATGACCAAGGATTTGGCCAGAAACTCTCCTCCTCATCTATCCCAGCACCTGCTCCTCAGTGCACCCCTTCCCGCCTGAGTCCTGAGCATCTGTGGTCCTGGACAATGCATGTCTGGGGCATCTGCTTCCTACATGTGCATCCACAGGGCAGGCTGCTATCCCTAATTGTCGAGAGGGATCTGGGCCTGGATCCACTCAGGTGGCCCCACCCTGAGAACTGGGCTTCCTCCCAGCAAGGAGACAGGGTCAACTGAGTGCATCTACTTCACAGAAATTCTGGGAGGCAAATTCCATCAAATCTTAATATGGTTTTGACATGCAATCCAGTAGTCATGCTTCTAGGTATTTCTCTATCTGACTTTAAATGTATGACCAGAAAGTACACATGAATAATCACAGTAAGCTCATTCATATTTGTCAAAACTAGGAACACTCAAGAAGTTCTATAGGTGAGTAGATAATCAGTGGTAAATTCGTAGAATAGTATTCAACAATTATAAACAAGCTATCAAACCATGAATATACATAAATGAATTTAAAATGAATTTTTTTTTTTTTGAGACGGAGTCTCACTCTGTCACCCAGGCTGGAGTGCAGTGGCCGGATCTCAACTCACTGCATGCTCCGCCTCCCGGGTTTATGCCATTCTCCTGCCTCAGCCTCCCGAGTAGCGGGGTCTACAGGCGCCTGACACTACGCCCAGCTAGTTTTTTGTATTTTTTTAGTAGAGATGGGGTTTCACCGTGTTAGCCCAGATGGTCTCGATCTCCTGACCTCGTGAACCACCCTTCTTGGCCTCCCAAAGTGCTGGGATTATGGGCTTGAGCCACCGCACCCAGCCTAAAATGCATATTGTTAAGTGAAATAAACAAGTCTGAAAAAGCTACATAATATGCTATTTCATTTATTTTATATTCTGTAGAAATCCAAACATACAGATTAAAGTGCTGTTTAATTTCCACAAACGGCATATGAAAGAAAAACAAAACACCGTGCATACGCTGAGTTAAAGTTAGAAAACATATACAATTGTTTGACTATTACAGCACAAAAAGAAAACTCTATTCGTGGAAACAGTTTGTATTGAGGATACACATCTTTTTTGCTAAGACACAGTCTCACTCTGTCACCAAGGCTGGGGTGTGGAGGCACAGTCACAGCTCTCTGCAGCCTCCACCTCCCAGGCTTAAGGAATCCTCCCTCCTCAGTTTTTCAAGTAGCCGGTAGCTCCACACTCAGCTATTTTCTCTTTTATGTATAGAAAGGATCTCACTATGTTGCCAGGCTGTTCAAAACTCCTGGATTACTTGAACTCAAGTAATCTGCCTGACTCAGCCTCCCCAAGTGCTGGGATTACAGGTGTGATTTAAAAATTTTTACATTTTAATAATAGTATTATTTTTAATAATTAAAATATATAAATAACCTATTTTAATAATTGTCATGAGAGATCATTGCTAGTATTACTCGGAAAATACGCAGCATTAAAAGTTGTATGACATCCATG